CTGTCTCTTGTTTCTATGATTTGAGTTCAACTCAGTACATTGTTGCCTAACTTATTAGTAACTATGCATCTAACACAGATCTCATCTTTATTATGTAATTCCCTTACCATTATATGCATACATTTATTTTGTTTAAACTTGAACTCCCTGTTTATAAAAACCACATAAGCGAAATTTTCTCAGCACTGTTCATCACTGATTGTGGAACTTTCTGTCAACTGACAACATGTAAAATTTTCACGTATGTTAAAATGTTTGTGTACTTAAACCTCAAAATTTATTCAGGCTGTAAGCAGTTGAGCTGATGAGAAGCCAACGAAATGAGCAATGATGTGATACCATATTATTCTGCACAAACCACCACTGTTGTGCTTGCTTTATTCCAATTCATCAAGAAGAATAAATGCATGAAGTTTCTCAAAGGGATATATTATATTATACGAGTTTGACCATAGATTACTATCAGTTGGAGAACCATTTAAAACCAGCACTGGAGTATTGCACAGTCAACTGGTTCATCTGCCTAGTTTGGGAATCATAGGTAGTACGCACCTACAGCGCCAGAGTTTTAACGCAGAATCTTTCGGTTTTACAAGGCAAGCTAGCTCGTGTATACCATTCAGCCACTGGGATCCGACCTGATTGAATGACCAGCCAACCCATGAATTCTAACTTCTACCAATTCATGATGCATTTAACGTGACTGGCACCAAACAATCCGTGATCATAGGTGGGGAATCCATCCTCACACTTGATTGGATGGACCTCACTGGTTACGACGTCTTACTAGAAACTCACTTCAGGAAACTCCGTCCTATAGCAAGTCACTAGAGAGCATCAGTGAGGTCCATCCAATGAAGTGTGAAGATGGATTTCCCACTGATGACACTGATTGGTGCCAGTCGCGTTAAATGCATCACGAATTGGTAGAAGTTAGAATCCATGTGCTGGTTATTGAATCGGGTCGGGTCGCAGTGGCCAAATGGTATATGAGCAGCTTAACTTGCAGCCAGAAGCTCCTGGGTTCGAATCTTGATGGTATCTGGGTACTGATGATAATTCTCAAACTAGGGTGAAGCAGCTGGCTGTGAAGTACTCCAGTTCTGGTTTTCAATGTTTCTCTAACTGATATCAATCAATGGTCAAATTCTGAGAAACACATCCAATCCTTACAATCCAAACTCTTAATCTATTATTAGTTATGAATATTATTGATTGTTTCTTGTTCTTCTTTGACTGGTGTTTCATCAGCCTAACTCGAGACTCTTCATCAGTACGCGATCAATTCCAAGGTTTGAACCCAGGACCTCGCGATTATAAGTCTGGCGAGCTCATCAACCATGAAGCCGTTGTTTGGGACATTCATAGGTCTTCAGCGGAACATCTTTATTATCAACTGAGTTGTATCTACCATCAATTATCCAAAAGCTTCTGCTACCATTTCCTCTTGATTACATGATCTTCTTCACGTTATCCTTGGAACCAGGTGCAACCCCACCTCCCATCCGCTGCACAACGCTTCCTATTCAGATTTTACTTGAGGGTGTAGCTAGTGTATGATGTCATATTTCGTTGTTTCTTCTCAGCTGAACAATACAAAAATACTAATTACATAGAAGATTTGAACATATCTTTTGTGCGATATTAATGGAGTAATTGATAGGAATTTAATTGATGGATGGCGACCAGCAGTGGAATCCAGGATGCACATCTCGTCCTATTTGTGACTCGCTTGTCAGCTGGGTGTACCTGTGTTCCCACCGAGGCTTGAACCCAGAGGCTCATAGTTTCAAACGCCAAAGCGTTATTCGCTAGACCACTTGGGCCACGACAGCCAGCCAAGTCATGTGTAACGCGTCGTGTTAATTATTTAGGACCGAGCACTTCGGTTCAGCCAATCGACGCGAGAAATCTTAAATTCAATTAAATAATTAATGTGTCCCGTTGCACAAGAGATAGCTGGCTCTCGTGGCCCAAGTAGTCTAGTGGATAACGCTTTGGTGTTTGAAACTATGGCCACTGGGTTCGAGCCTTTGTGGGAACATATTCACTCACTGGGAAATGAAGGTACATCTAAATGACGAGTCCCGAATAGGACCAAATGCGCTTTATCCTGGATTCCACTGCTAGTCACCATCCACCAATTAAATACTAATTAAATGCCTAGACATCATCGAAGCATCTGCAAAAGAAGCCAACAGAAATGTCAACCTGAGACCGAGCACTTCGGTCCAATCAATTGATGGGAAAATCTGAAATTCAAATAAATAATTGATGAGAAATATATAACTAGTATAAGTGTGGAATTAAGCAGGCCGCGAAATAATTAAGAATAACACATTTAGGAGAAAAGAGGTTGTATTTTCAATTAGATCTCATCAGGCTTAATTAACTCTAATATACCCACATAATTTTGCAGATAAATAATTCAAATAAAAACCAATCACGGTGTTTTGTCGATAGGATAATAAGATGGTGAATATAAATTGTGCAATTAGTCATAATAATAGTAATAATGATAATATTAGTGGTTCTATCAGTTACAAGAATTAAAAAAGTGGGGCTATCGGTAATAACAAGAATAGTGAAAAACAGCATGATTACATAAACAAATAACCGATAAATATTAAGAAAAATAAATGAGCCGATTAAGTAATGCTAGATTGTAAGGGAAGTAAATAAAATACGTTTATAGTGAACATGTGGTAAGATTAAGGGCTGATGATAAGAGAGGGGTTAAAAATATAAGTAAGGAGTGGTGGAGAAGTCATCAGTTGGGTAAGTCTTAATAGGCCAACAAGGGAGGGATAATAGCTGTATGAACTTCTTTTGAATGAGCATAGTTTAGGCTTAATAGTTCGGCTTATCGCCTCAGCTGTGTGCAGTAGACGAATACGAAGTTTATTGGGAAGATTCGGTGGGATACGATGAATTACCTTGAAAGCTTTCGTTTTCTCCACTACATGACCGCTATCAACTAAATGTCATAAAATGGAACTACAGATTGTTTTTGTCCGTCCTTTGTCAAACCATGATGGGGGGAGATGTTCAGTAATGACACATTGGGTAAACTGTCTAGTAGTACTCCGAAAAAGAACTATCGCCACAGGTGCAGTTGAATTGACAAATGCGCGTAGTTGTAGTTAAACTGTCTAGCTTATTCTTCATTTGCGTCTCAAACATTTGTCTGCTAGAGAATGATGACAAACATAGGTATGCTGCGTAAAACACTCTTCGTATACTCCTGGGAAAGTCTTTGGAATAAAATCTCACTTGACAAGTCATCATTAAGTTGTAAGTGAATAAACAGAGGTTCCGATTCTGATATAGTTGTATTATCTGAGCTACAAATCTTCTCCATCAATATCTAAATAGGGGTTCTTTACGTGCAGTCGTAATCTCAGGTTTTCTTTCCAATGTTTTCATATATTTCGACATGAAACTATTTGGATAGTCAAGGAATCGTGATTTCATTTAAAATCCACTTTGTAAGTGGTCATCCGTACATATCTTTCTTGCTGTGCTCATAAGACATTTAACAACATTGCTTTTATGTTTAGTAGGCGTGTAACTGAGAAAGTGTGTGTGTGTGTATTGATTGCCTTGTGAATTTGCTTTTTCTATACACGCTTCTCTCAAGTAAAGTTATGTATATTAGAGTTAAAACTGATGAAATCTAACTGAAAACAATATTGTTCGCTTAAATGTTTTGTTGTTCTAAATTCTACTATGGGGATATTTAATATTTTAACATAATAAGGAGTTAAAAGGATTGAATGTTTATAGAATAATTAAATGAATATTTTCAAGTATTGCTTTTGTAGGGATTGTGGTTGATTGGTTGGAGGGTAGGGTACAGTAGGTTGATGAAGATGAGGCAGTATAACTTATCGAAGAAGACATCGTGAAGTGGTCACACTATTTCATGATTTGACAGAAGTTAGACTTCATGCACTGGCTGGCCATTGAATCGGATCCCGGTGGTTGGCTTAATGGTCTACGAGCTCACTAGCCTTGTGACCAGAAGGTCCTGGATTCGAATCATGGTGGTGGTGTTAGAGATTCCCAAACTAGGATGATGTGAACAGTAGTTTAACTAAAAAAGAGTATATCACAATAAATTAGGTTAGGTAACTATCGAAAATGTTCTTAAAAACAGCATGACACGAGTAAGGTGAATGATCTTCAGATGAAGTAATAAAATTTTCTAAACGAAACACGCTATGTTTCTTTTCAAGAGTTGATTTGTAAGGATTAGATTTGTTTTTCAAATTTGATCACGGATTCATATCATTTAGAGAAGCAATGAAAACCAGTACTGGAGTACTGAACACTTGTTTCATCAACCTAGTTTGGGAATCATCATTAGGACGTATTCACCATCGAGGTTCAAACTCAAAACTTTTCGGTTACAAGTCAAGCTGATTTGTTCTCTTACCTATTGATTTTCTTCAACTCTTTGAGCTTGTTCACACTATGATCATTGTCCAAACAATTGGCATGCGATCGCACTGTTTTCATCACGAAAAAACAGGTAGTTAGATGGATTAATGAAAACCAGTAAGCACTAGACAACTATTTTGTCCTCTCCTGGGACTCCTCAACAGTGCGCACCCAAAAATCTATCAATGATCAAGCCTGGGACCCTCAGTTTGCAAGACCATTCAGCCAATTGGGCTTGGATTCAATGACCTCTGAATTCTAACTTTGTCAACTCGTGATGTAACACTACCACCACCACCACCACTAATGCCTTTGATTACTGTCCGCTTCACCTTGATATTGTGGACTCCACGTGTTACGACTTTCCATTGGTGGTAGCTTCAGGAAATTCATCCAGCAGCCATCAGTAAGCTGGTTATTTTATAGTTCAGATTGTGTTTGTGCTACGTTTTAATCTCAGATTCTTTGATGTGAGACGAATGTCATTTGAATAATATCTCATTTAAAGTAATCGTCATCATCACCATTTCTTTTGTTGTTTTTTTCTTTCTTTTCAGTGTGTTATCTACTTATTCAGTTTAAAGATTCTACATCCTCGTAGTCTATTTCTTCTACGTGGTAATCATGAATGTCGTCATTTAACACAGTATTTCACATTTAGACAAGAATGTAAGTTATTACTGCTTGTTTTTTTGGATGGCGTGGCGTCGGGGGCTGGTGGTTATCTTTTTGTTTTATTTCAACTTGTTTTTGACTGTTTGAGCCCACTATTCATCAGAGGAAATGTTCTAGATGAGTACATTACTATCAAAAGTGTAGAATTTGGGCACAGTAGATTCTGTCTGTCTGGATTCAACATAGAACTTCGCACCGAAGTGCACCAGTTCGAGTTGCCACGTTCCAGATAGCACACAGAGGTAGACAAGAAGATGAGTGAAGAGAATCAATAGAGTTTGACAAGTATAAAAGCGAAACTGAGTGGGTAATGGTAGAAAGGAATATGAAAGATTACAGAGACTGAATACATCTGAGCTGGCCATTGACAACGAATTTGTGCCATGTCACCTATTGTCTCCAGCCATTGATTCTTAGAATCAGTCCCGAGGGCCCCAACCTGGAAGTCTGCATCTCCGTACCTGACCGACTCAGTTTAACTGTCAAGGATTTCATGGATTGATGAGGCCATGTTTTTGTTTGGCCACCACTCACTCTTTTCCAACCTGCACCACCTATATCAGCTAGTAATGCCCGTCGGGGGAGGCGATGGTTAGGCATGCGCAGCCCGTGACCTAGACATTTCAATCTATGCAACTTTATAGCCTCGTCGATTGATTTTCCCTCTTTTCCCAACACTCTACGCCTAACGTCAACATTACTTACCTTATTATATCACCTAACGTGAGAAGGAGATCGCAGACATCTGTGATCGAAAGCAGTCAACGTTTTCATGTCTTCAACTCGTATTGGCCATGTTTCAGAGCCATAGAGAAGGACGGAGCGAACTGATGATCAGTACACACGTCCCTTGGTTAACAGCCGGATGTCACGCTTACGCCAGAGATGGTGTAGGTCAGCGAAAGTAGCTCGAGCTTTTTGGATCCGTGCTGATATTTCGTCGCCAATCAGTCCGTTGGTGCTAATGCAACTTCCCAAATAAGTGAAGTGGTTAACATGTTCTATCACTAAAAAAATCATTCACAAGCTAGGAGTTGACGTATTCCACGGTGGATTCAGTGGTGAAACGCTTGCCACCACCACGCTTCACGTGGTCCACGGGGTCGATTCCCAGCTGGTGCACACTTAAAACTTCACTAAGCCCGTAGTAAGGCGTATGAGGAAGAGAGGTTGGGTATGAGGCTAGCAATACTGTTACGAAAGTTATATATATGTCCAAACCAAGTTCACTTTTAACAGTGAACTTGAAAAAAATTTGACCATTGGGTATAGGATATATTCATTATAATAGAGGTTTTTGTATTCCCCAGTGAATGAAAAACAAAACGATATTGCTGTTTTTACTGACGTTTCGCTTTATCAAAGTATTATTAAACCGGAATTTACAAAATCTCACCATACATATAACAAAAAGTTAAGAGGCGAGAAAATAGACTGCTTAGGTCAAGGTAAAAGGAGGACATATTGAAAGTCAAAATAGCAATGAATATCACTAAACCAAATAACAAAGGTAATAGTACGTCTGTTATGATATCAAAACAAAGTTTACTAACTTGATCATCCTTCGTTAGTCTGGGGTCATTTTTCATTGTCAAGTCGGTCAGCTGGTAGAGATAACAAAACCAAGTTTAGATTGTTGGATTTGATCAGTGTGTGTTTGCATAGTGATCTAGTGGCTCATGAATTCTAACTTCTACTGACTCGTGATTTAGCGCGGCCCTAACCATTGTCGTAGGTTGGAAATCCATCCTCACACATAACGTCTGGATGGACCTTACTGGTCACGACTTCTCACTAGAACTCCAGGAAACTCCGTTCTGTAACAAGTCACTAGCGAGCATCAGATTTTAATCGGGTCCCAGTGGCTGAATGGTATATGAGCCAGCTTACCTTGTAACCGGAAGGTCCTAGGTTCGAACCCCTGTGGTGCGTACTGCCGATGATTCCCAAACTAGGATGAAACAGCAGCTGCCCAACACTTCCTCGTTTTCAATGGTCCTCTAACTTATATCAATCCGAGATCAACTCGTAAAAATTAAATTCACTTGTTAAGACTCAATTAATAGTTTGGCTCTTCCTCCTTCTCCTCTTGCCCGTCTAATGGACCAAGTCTGGTGTTGTTTTTATTGATGAAGATTTAAAAAAAACTTTTCACCTATATATCCATCAAGGTATATCGACATTGGGAGAAAACACATCTGAGTGATTGATTTCTATTGCATTTTCAACAAAGAACTTAGCACAAAAAAAAGTACAGAAGCTAAATTTTCCACTTTTCTCTAATGGACACACTATAAATGGAAGTTTACATGAGAAAGAATTATTGCATAGGGAATAATCAAGATTTTGAAGTATTGGTGGGTGTGAACTGATGAAAAGTCCCAAAATAAGCTGACAAAACAGCTGGCTATCTAGTACTCTCTGCAAGGTTTCCAATGGTTCACTCACTAACCGATGATGCCAGCTCATGATGAAATCCTGTAACCAAATCAAGATTTCATAAAGAAGTGAATGCTTCTGACATAGCGAGAATAATTTTGTGCTCCTTCGTCAGCAATTTCAAGCCATAGCGTCTCAGGGAGCCTAGCGAGTTAGTTTACGCCTCCCTAGGTTACTTATGTGTATGTGGGGAGATAGCTTTACTTTTGTCAACATATAAATGACCATTTCGAAGAGGAATTCCTTTTTCTAGTGTGGAGTCGTAACCAGTGGCGTTCATTTAGTTGGGTGTGTGGGGAAAGATACTCACCGATGACATTGGTAGACGGTTGCACTATACTGTGAACTGACAGAAATTCGGACAGATGGGCCATTGGATTGCGTTACAGCCTTCTAACCAGAAGGTCCTAGGCTTAACCATTGGTGGGATCCAACACAAGGATGAAACAGCTAGCTGTCCAGTACTCCTTGATTTTCGATAGTTCTCTCCTCAATGAGAGCAAATCGTTATCAAAATTGATATTTAAGCATTTTATTTTTTGTTTCTGAATGTTTGCCATTCCAATAGAATACCTAATGACAACAAAAATCGATATATTTCCCCCCCATCTCGCCCCCGATTCACGATTATTGCTATTATTACTATATCGTTGAATTTAGTAAGCTAATTTATTGTGAAGTAGTGTTCTTGTTCCCGACAGACAGTGGAATAGGTACTTAACTCTAGTGCAATGTCTATCTTTTGAGTTATGGTTTCCAGTGAGATATATTAAAACTTGTGGAGAGGTTACTCTTCATTAACGTGAGCAATATTGTTTCAGTTAGTGAATCCTGAGTTCGAGTTCTGCTGCATCTACTTACTCACTTTAGGCACCCAATTATATAGTATGATCAACCCCCCCCCCACTCCTACACACACATACACACACGAACGCACACTAATTTTGTCTGATAGCCTGGTATATAAGATGTCTCTTTAAGATAACTGACCATGAAGAATATTCATCGAGAAATTAGAGGGAAAAGAACAAGAAATTCATCAAAGATGGCGGTTTTTCCGGCGATTTCATTCTCAGAAGCAGCTAGCTGTACAATCGCATGGATACAATTAGTGTTTATTTAATTTCACATAGTAACGAAAGTGGCAATAATTTTCAACTTGATATGAAGGTTTGAAGGTACGAATATAGACTATGAGGGGTTAGAGACAAGATTACATAGGATTAGAAAACAGTCACAAAGTAGGCAAAATTAATATTTGATAACTGGAGAAATAATTTTAAAGGCGAATAAAAGGTGACAATTATTTTCAACTTGATATGAATTACAAGAGCCTTAGAAACAAACATTTCGCAGGGATGGAACGAATTACAGGTGTACCTATGTACCTAGTTCTGCACGAGCAGGTGGATTGGTAAATCGGCACTGTAGTAGTCATATGCGGAAGTCTGTCCTTCCCGTTGCTCCGAAGTAGTGGGCGGCTAGAGAATATCACTATTAGAGTTGCTTCAAGAAAAGTGTTCTTCAAGGAATTGGAGATTATCCTATTGAGATTATCTGCTGCTAGATATCCCTTGAATATCAGATTCAAATAAAGTGTTTTCTCTGACACTGAAGTGTATTCTTCTCTTTTTGGCTTCGATCTCATGTTCTTCTCCATGAGAAATAGAAGCTATTCTTCTAAACAGTCATCGCTACAAGTTCTTCTGGTACGGTGAGCTAGCAAGATGATGAGAGCTCTTTTACGGCTGATAGGTATCCATCCAACTGCAGAAGTTTGTCAGTTGGCCATTGCATGTTGGTTTGTCTATGGATAAATCTTTTCAGAGTTTCTGTCATCTCTTCTTGTCAATTCGATGTCCAGGAACGAAATCATCGGATTGATTTTCAACTTCGATTGTGAATTTAATTGGAGGATGACAGTTATTAAACTCCTGTAAGATACAGTTTCAATCAGAATCATCCTGACAAATTGATGATCCTGATAACTGAGTTCTAACAGTGTATTATAACCTTTTCACATGATTCTACTATATGTGTATATAATCATAAATAATCTTTCTTCTTTCTGTATTGATTTACTGTTATAAAAGGTATCATGAAGAGTACAGAACGTGTTTATGAAGCTTGTATGGAAGCATTCGACTGTTTGCCTTTAGCTGCATTAATTAATCAACAGTTTTTATGTGTACATGGTGGCCTATCTCCTGAATTGCATACACTGAATGATATTCGAAAGGTAATGGTTTTTGTTTTATTTATATTTGTGGGTTTTCTCTTGTTTTTCTCTCTCTTTTTTTGATTTTTAAAGTACGAATCATTTTAGGTAGAATCATAATACTGAGATCATTGCAACTGTGTAACAGCCTATATCCTGGATTCTCTTCTGATGTGAGATGCTAACCACTTAGCATTATCAGCTATGTCTAACATCATGGTAGTGATAGAAAATGGGACGTTGGATCCAGTCCCAGTGGCTTAATTGTCTACGAGCTAGCTCGTCTTGTAACCAGAAGGTCATGAATTCGAACACCGGTGGGGGGGGGTGCGTACTGCTAAAGACTTGCAAATTAGGACGAAATAGCTGGGTGTCTAGTACTTCCTTCAGGTTTTCCAATTGTTCTCTAACTGATGTCAGCCGATGATGGAGTCCTGTAACCAACCTATCAATCCAATCCCGTACAGACCGATACTGTTTGATTTCCACTTTTTGTGAATTGGATTACTTCTATACGAAGATGCCGTCTAGTTGATATTGTATTTAGATAACACATTTGTTTAGCTTGTAGATACTGAGAGAATGCTCTGAAGGGAAATATGGAGATGTCTAGCATGGAGTTTTGTGGCGTGTATTACTAACTTGATATATAAGTAGTATATAGGTGTGAATATAAATATGTTAAACGCAAGAGAGAGATGGATTTAATGAACAGTGCTTGGGAAGCGACATGGAAAACATGAAAAGAAGACAAGGAAGAGTAACACGAAAGATGAATTAGAACAGTACCCTAGCAAATTGTTGATATTAGATGGTTGGAGGCAATCGGCAGGGGAAGCCTTCAACCTATGTTTCGTGTTAGTTGGCATTTGTCAGAATGGTGTATCCTCAATCTTTAAGGAACTCATGTGTATTCTGAGATTCGAACCCGTTTCACCCGATGAGTATTGCAGTCAGAGGCGTCAAACACTGAGTTCCTTCAAGGCCTTTGCAGATTCGCCTTACTGACTTGTGAGTGCCAACTAGCACGAAACCTAGGTGCGAGGCTTCCTGCCGACCTAAGGCCTCCATCCATCTAATATTCAACATTTGAAAGTGTATCTTGGTGGCTGGCAACCCACTTAGTGGCATGGTGACCATATTGCAAACTTGACTGATAGATATAGCACTAGACACATTACACCAGTGACTAATTAGAGTCCAATCAAAGGTACCGAAGAATATATGCAAATCGTGATTCTACTGCATGGTGGACGTGTTTTGCCTATATATGTGCATCGAGTTACACATAAGTAATTTCTTTACCAACTCTCTAGTCGTGTTTTGTTCCAGTCTGTCAGTTTCATCTGTAAGGTGATACGACCAGCTTGACAACTTCACTTATCCCGGAAGTTATTTCGGCCCAAGTCTGCCATTCCGACACTGATTTCTTGAAAGTCACTCAAGTACACAACCCAATGACAAATTCAGAATTGAGCTGACATTAGTTAGAGAACCATTGGAAAACCTGGGAGTACTGGACAGCTATTTCGTCCTAGTTTGGGACTCTTCAGCAGTACGAACCCACCGGGATTCGAAACCAGGACCTTACGGTTACAAGGCGAGCTCGTATACCATTAAGCCACTGGGACCCGTTCCAATGGTCCTTGAATTCTAACTTCTGCCAATTCACAACATATCGCGACCGCTGGCCAATGTCTTCGGTGGCGAGTATTTGTCCTCACACCCGACCTGCTGTACCCTACTGGTCACGACTTCCCACTGGAACCCAGGTAACTACCTACCTGAATAGAGCCAGTCGCCAGTGAGCATCTCATTGGTATTAAAGTGTTGGCTTGTAGGGATTTGACTGGTTTCAGGATTTCATCATGAGCTAACATTAGTTAGGGAACCATTGGAAAACCTGGGAGTACTGGGAGTACAGTACAAATCAAATCATTCCGGCCTGTTTGAACTTGGAGAGAGTAGATACAGTGTTCTACTTATTTACCAGCTACTTTATCTGCAAGTCTATACTCTTACGTAGGGTTATGGCACTTAAATTAAGGTTTTAGGTTTAATGTTAAATTTAGGGTTAGGAGTTAGATTTATGGGTAGAGTGAGAGCAGGTTGGAGAATAGTGTCAGAAATATCAATGGATCGCAAAGTACCATGACCTCTACAGTCACCTGGATGGATGGATAGATCGTGCATGGTACGATTTCACCATAAAGATCATCTCTGTATTGACTGGTAGATATTCTAACAACATATAAGCTACAACTATACAGTGTAATATCAAGTTTGCAGTGTATTTTTTAGTGTATTTTTTAACAATTGTGCTGATTTTTTTGCATTTGAATTCTGATTGGTTGTTCAGCGTCACTGTGGTTTTAGCTATGACAGTTTAACTTTGTGGAAAACACCCATATGGACATTAGAAAGAAGAGAACACGAAGTTCAGCAAAGATATCTTTTCGGCGATTTGCTCTAATTTCTACTGAAACACTCCCCCACCTACACGGTAATGACAACAGAGACCAAGGTATTTTGATCCAATAAAATCAATCATTAGCTTGTTGGGAAACATAGAAAATAAATAAATAAGACAGTTAACAAACTAGACTAACTATATGTTATTTATTATTATTGCCTCCTTTAGTTCCTAGAGGAGCATAGGGCTTCAGCCGTAAGGCTCCACTGCCAACGTTTTCATCACCTGGCTCCACATCTACTCTCATGCTTTCATCTACTCTCCTCATAACCTCATCCACGTCACCCTCGCACTGACGATCAACTAACTCACCGATTCCCATTCAGGCTGCACTCAAGCGATGGCCTGGCATGTGACGGATGTCACTTGATGGTGATCTGTTTTTTCAGAGTATGGCCAATCAATCCACCTCCATTTCTTCCTGCATGTATTTTGCACAATCTGTTCCTGCTGGTTTAGTTTGTTGGTTCGTTTCCAGAGATCCATGTAGCTGATGTTTTCTGATCGGGCATCTGATCTTGAGTAGTATGGAGAGAAGACAGCTAGCTGTTGATGGAGGTCTGTAGTTTGTTTGAAGTGTTCTTTATGACGCGCCAAGTTTCTGATCCATAAAGTAGCAGTGACTTGACATTGGAGTTGAAAATCGGGATCTTATTTTCATGTTCATGCTGCGTACTGTTGACCTATACACAGACTTGAGAGAGATGAAAGCTTGCCTTGCTTTCCGGATCTTCGCTTTGATATCTTCATCAGTTCTGTCCGTCTTTAGTTGAAACGAAGCTTCCCAGGTCGGTAGGTAAAGGAGGTTGTTTCTTTCAGGTTCCTCCCATTTGTACTGATTAGTGTCTGTTGTTGTTGCTGTTGGTATTGCCAGAAATCTTCATCACTTCTATTTTCTATATGTTCACTTGAAGTCCTATCTTTGATGCTTCTTCTGTCGCCAACTTGTTGCTTTTCATCATTTGCATATCTCCCAGTTTGTGGGAAATCAAACATATATAACATCGGCGAAGTCCAGATCCTCCAAGTTTTTTGTATCGATCAATTTTATACCTGTCTCCTCGTTACCCGTTGTCTGTCGCTCTATCCAGTCTACCGTAGTCAGGAAAATCACTGGAGATAGTAGGCAGCCAGCCAGTCAACCTTGTCTTACTCCCGTTTCCACAGAAGTATATATATATATATGCATATATATATATATAGAAAACAATTTTCCGATTGTTCATATATCCAGTAGCTTATTTGTCTGTATTCAACTAGCGTCCAAGCTTTCATTCCTTGCCATCTGAGCAGGATATCAAGAAGTCTTCAAGCTTCAAAGATTGAAGTTTCAGTAGCACTGGTGTTGTGTTGTGTTTACTTGGGGGGGGGGGGGGGTGTGGTATGGTGTAGTGTGAGTGGTGAATGGAAGTTGGTTGGTAGTCTGATGCCCGAGCATATCTCTTTTCTTTTCTTTCTCTAAACTCACTATCAGTTAGTTCAATATTAGGCAAGATTAGTGTTTTAGATGACTTTTTCATAAATAGCACTCAATACGTAATAGTTTCCGGTTAAACGATTACACTTTGTTGTTTGCTTTGCTCTGCTCTGCTCTGCTTTACTTCTATCTTTTATTGTTTTGAATTTCGCTCACTCTCAATTGATCAGTATCATTAGGATATGGAAATATTCACGTGTCTGTCTGTGTGTGTGTGTTGTGCGTGGATGGGTGCGTATTCAACTGTGAAATACTAGACAGACTAATATATTCACCTTTTGTATTCCTTTTCTTTATTCTCATAACAACAACAATTATTATTATTATTGTTTAGACGATATTTGGTATAGCCAATAATTCATAATATAGATGAATGGATGGATTATCAGTTTATAGTGAAATGTTGATATAAGAATAAAACGTGTGCACTGTGGTGGTAGAGTATAATTCCATTGTGGGTAAATTTTTGTTTTGATAAAGTCTCACAGTATTATACAGTAATGTTTACTGATGACCCCGTTTCGAGCACAATTTATTACTGCTCATAATCATATCAAGACACTACTCATACGACTTCCTAAATTCATTTATATTGTTCCATTATTTTTCACTTGATTTGATTGGTAGTAGTATTTTCCATATTTCAGGTATGAGTGATGACTCATTCTTATTGCATGTGTTTGGTGTAGACTCGATGAACAAGGATTCAGTAATCAGCCTCTATCGCCACCTATTTAGATTACCTTTTAGGATTTCAACCCTCTCCCACCCTATTGTGTGGTTGTGTGTTAGCGCATGCATTGCAATTGCTGAGCTTTTTTCTAAATTATTTATCTTTTTAAGGTCAACCATTCTTGCCTTAGCTAAATTCTTATGCTCTGACAATCTGACTACTCCTGACCTACTAGTTTGACCTATGTAGTTGACCTCACAGTCATTGCAGGGTATTTTGTAAATAATATGATGTTGTCTAATTGGGTCAACTGGGTCTGTTAACCTACACAGCTTGTCCTACCTGAGTGAGCTTGTAGGTTTAAATGCCACCCTAATTCCTATTTTATTCAGAATCCT